CCCTCAATATCTTTCACCAGCTCACTCCTCTTTTTTGGCCCAATGCAGCCATCCTTCCTTGACGACGTCAAGCGCCGTTTCTATACCTCTCTCTCTCTCTCTCTCTCTCTCTCTCACACACACACACACACACACACACACACACACACACACACACACACACACACACACACACACATCTCTCTTCCTATGGTCGGTGGACTGGTGGACGCGGGGGCTCTAGCGACGGCACAAGCAAGTAGTGCCGGGCGGTGAAGGAGGCGCAGGTAAGCGGCGGCACATGCTCGCATGGCCAGGTAGCGCTTGTAGCGCAGCAGCCTGGGTGGCGCACTCACAGGCATAGGCGTCACGCTTGCAGGCATCGGAGTCTTAGGCGCACGAGCGGTGCGGGAGGCGTCACGAGCGTGCGTGCGACAGCTGAGCGGCATGCGAGTGGCGGCAAGTGCCGCGGAAGATCTATGGGATGGAGAAAGAGGATTGGTTGGCTGATGTGCAAACCCTACTATGAGGGGCGTTAACAGAACTAGTGCCAATCCATCCTCATTTCACCAACCAAATAGCAAATAGAACCATTCCATTTCTTTGATCAAACACTGGGCATAGAACCTTTGAATTTCTAAAATCAAGTCTCGACAGAATATCATCGCCAGTCCTCTGAGGGGTATCCCACGAAGGTAGATTGATCGGCAGAGGTGCGCGTAATCAAGAACAAGAGGGCAACAGAGACACAAGAGTTAGACATGTTTGGGCCGTCTGCACGACGTAATACCCCACTCCTGTGGTCAGTTGGTTTGTATTGGCTATCGTATGATATTGCGTGCGTTTTGAGGGGGTCCCCTATCTGCCTTATATAGCTGGGGGGTAGGGTTACAAGTCAGTTAGATCTAGGAGATAACCGGTAAGTAATAACAGATTACAGGAATAATGGGATCGAACATATCCTAACAGATCTCATAGCATCTTTAGGATATCGCTCTTGATGTCTTGCGGTACACGCCGAGCAGTACCGTGCACCATAAGTCTTCGTCTTGTGGGCTGGAACACCTCTGGGGGCGCAACCCACGTAGTCTATCGTGGGTATCCGGGGTCGTACCCCCCACATCAAGGATAGGTCCATTCCATCCTACCTCGCCCTCCAACCAAACGCATCCCGAATCATCTCTTGTGGTAGGATCTCCTTGCTCCCACTCTTGTAGAAGCAAATCTCCTCCTCCTGTGGCTATGGCCAGGATTGGAAAGGGTCGGATGCTCTGCTCTTGGGGTGGTGGCATGTGTTGTCTTGCACGTAGAGGAGCGGTGATGGTCGCGAGCGAAGAGAGGTGTCGATGGACAGGGTGTTGCCGAAGGTGCCGACCACAATGACCGAGACACGAGAAGAGGAGCCAATAGCGCGGGCAGTGGAGCAGGCCCCATGGGCGGAGGAGCTGGCCACTGCGTCCGGGGCATGGACTTAGGAGCTGGCCATGGCGGCTGGGGCGCAAGCAGAGGGGTGGGCCGCGACGACCGTGGGAGACGGATAGGGGTGGCGTGCGTGGGAGGAGGCAATGAAGGGCGTCGCAAGCAGCGTAGGGTGGGGAGATTTGCTTGGGTTAGTGGATTTTCTTTTAACCATATCTCCATCAAGGGGTGGACCCCCAAAAATATAGGGCGACATCTGCGCGCCACTCTCCTTTTTTCTTACACACAGTTCTGTTTCCACACTTCGCGCCACGTAGAATAGTTCCTATCGGTTTGGAGACCGACGAGAAACGAACTCCTATCAGTGTCTGAAGTCCGTCATGAATCCGATTCCCTCTCCTAACCGCCATCGATTTTCCCTGTGTGTTTTCCAAACCGACAGGAATTCTCTACCTGATTTTCATCAGGTTTTCACAGCCGACAGGAATTTTACTACTATCCTGTCGGTTTTTAGAAAACCGTCAGTATTAATTGTAGCCGACAGGATTGCTCCTGCCTCTAGTAGTGACGCCCATCATGTCAGTGTCGACATGTTGTTTCTTCGATAGATGGATGTGATCTCATGGATGACCGACACAGGCACCTTCACAAGTTTCCTCAGGTGATGATAGCTGTCTATCATGGCCGGGAAACGGCCTTAATCGGCTCTGATACTAGTTGTTGAAACCGGTGGTGGACACCGATCGAACACGACGAACACCAGATCGCCACAGGGCATGAACACGACAAACACACGGCAGGTGGAAGATGAACACAACATGTGCTGCCAATGTTGCAGCCTTATTCAGGTTTTTCATGGCTTATACACGCGGAACACAAGCATTCATACATGGGCTTGAAGCCCAGGTCCCTCACCACTCTGCACAGGCCGCGTAGCTCGGCTCTTCTCTCGCGACGCCACGCGACATGCATGCATGGCGAGCGCGTCGTGGCGAGGCCACACATCCGAATAACGTGGCCACGGCATGGACTGGGTACATCTCTGTATCCACCCGTGGTTCTACGCGACACAAGTTCTGCGACTACTAGCAGTGTATTACAACAGGATTACAACAGGATTACTGCAGCTAAATCTGCCAACATATCATCCATTCTATCCATCTCATCAAAACCTTCAAGTCCATGCTGCTGGTAGCACCTCTCACCATGTGCAGTCCAAGTTTTGTAGTTGGACTAAAACCCATTTTGACAATGCAGCTCTACCATGCCCCTTGTGTGCCGAAAATAATTCCTACACACTGCACATGAGCATTTGATGGTACCCTCTTGTGCTACAGACTGATTAGAGAATGCAAAATCCAGGAACTGTTTTGTATGCTCAACCCAATCACATGTTGGTCTACCACACTTCCATCCACTTTAAATCCATTCAGGCTCATACATAGTTTAGTATTGCTGTCAACATTCACAAAGTGCTATAATTAGGTGTCCACTACAATTATTATAGATATAGTTTCATATAGAAAGCAGAAGATATTGCCTTTGACGTGGCTCTAATAAGCCTAAGTTTGAATCTATATCACGTTTCTATTGCCTAACAAATGAGCTAGCTCAGCTGGACTCTTTTCTATGTGCAAACAGACAATTAGCTAGCTCAGCTGCACTTTTTTCTATGTGCAAACAGACAATTGGCTAGCTCAGGTGACTCACAAAAAACAAAAAAAAGGTAGCTCAGGTGGACTACCTAATTGCAATAATTTGTATATAAATTAAACAACTTTTCTAAGCCTAAATTAACTAACATTTACTGCAAACAACTAATACTACTCCAGAAATCACAATTCACACTTAGGATTTGGTATCCATAAAAAAATGCAAGGGATGAATCAAGGATGCATTTGGTTGGAGTGTGAACTGGAGCAGAGCAGTTCCATCCCAATTTCTAGAGTGTTTGGTTCATGGACATCAGGAATGGAACGGTTCCACCAGAGAATATTTAATCATTATCTTTCACCAGCTCACTCCTCTTTTTCGACGGAATGCAGCCATCCTTCCTCGGCGACATGAAGCGCCATTTCTCTCTCTCTCTCTCTCTCTCTCTCTCTCTCTCTCTCTTCCTCCCTCTCTCTCTCTCCATATCATCTACTCGGTGGGCTGGTGGAGGCGGGGAATAACGACGGCACGAGCTCGCGGTGCCGGGTGGTGGAAGCAGGCGCGGGTAAGCGACGCCGTGTGCTTGCATGGCTGGCAGCGCTCAGAGGCGCAGCAGCCAGGTGGCGCACTCACAGGCATAGGCGGTGCACCTGTAGGCGTCGGAGTAGGCGCGCAAGCGATGCGGGAGCCGGCGTGGGCATGTGTGCGACGGTCGAGCGGCATGCGAGTGGCAGCGCTTCTTATGGCAGGGCCGAATGCTATGTTCTTGGGGAGGTGGCGTGTGCTGTCTTGCACGAAGAAGGGCGGTGATGGTCGTGAGTGGAGGGAGGTGTTGGCGGATGGGCACAGGCGGAGGTGCCGGCCATTATGACCGAGACTCAGGCAGAGGAGCCAGTCGCGCGGGCAGTGGAGCAAGCCCCGTGGGCGGAGGAGCCGGCTGTGTCAGCCAGGGCACAAACTTATGAGCTAGTCGTGCTTGCTGGGGCCAAAGCGGAGGGGCGTCCCGCGATGGGCGTGGGAGGCGGCCGCGAAGGGTGTGGAAGGTGGCGCGGGGTGGGGGGATTTTGCTTGGGGTGGTGGATTTCCTTTTAACCATATATCCATCAAGATATGGACCCTCCGAAAATATAGCGCGACACCTGCGCGCCATTGTCCTTTTTTCTCACGCACACTTCTGTTTCCACACTTCACGCGCGTAGAATAGTGAACCAACAGGAAACAAACTCCTATGACTCTGAAGTTCGTCATGAATCTGATTCCCTCTCCTAACGGCCATCAATTTTTCGTGTATGTTTTCCAAACTGACAGGAATTCTTTGCCTGATTCTCTTCAGGTTTTCACAGCCACATGAATTTTACTACTTTCCTGTCGGTTTTTAGAAAACCGTCAGTATTAATTGTAGCCTACAGGATTGCTGCTGTCTCTGGTAGTGGCGCCCATCTTGTCAGTGTCAACGCGCTGTTTCTTCGATAGATGGAGGTGATCTCGTGGATGACTGGCACGTACATGCACCTTCGCAAGGTTCCTCATATGACGATCTCTGTCTACCACGGCCGGGAAACGGCCTTAATCGGCTCTGATAGGTGGAAGATGAACACAATATGACGTTGCAGCCCTTTTCAGGCTTTTCATTGCTTATTTTATACACGCGGAACACAAACATGCATACATGGGCTTGAAGCCCGGGTCCCTCGCCACTCTACGCACGCCGCGCGGATCGGCTGTTTTCTCGCGATGACACCCGACATACATGCACGGCGAGCGCATCGTGGCGAGGCCACACACCCGAATAACGCGGCCACGGCATGGACTGGGTACACCTGTATCCACCCGTGGTTCTACGCAACACAAGTTCTGCAACAACAAGCAGTATTACAACAGGGATTACAGGTGAAAACAAATTAGAAATGAAGTAGTATCAAATTCATATTAGCTGCGTGTGTTGCTATCTATATAGCGCCTGCTAGGGCACGGAGGAGGATGGTCTCGACGGTGATCCCAGGGCCGAAGCCGATGAGCAGTCCCCATTCCAGGCCTTCTCCTGGGGTAGGGAGGCCCTGCTCCTTCGACCTCCGCCTCATCTCCTCCATCACGAGAATAACACACGAGCTGCGCGTGTTGCCGTACTGCCTCATCACATGCCTCGACGCCGCCAGCTTCTCGCCGGTGAGCCCCAGCGCCGTCTCCACTCTGTCCAGTATTTGCCTGCCGCCTGCATGCACCACCCAGAACACCTCGTCGTTCAAGTCTGGTGGCAGTGGCATCGTCGTCGTCATCGGCAAGTGGCTGCCGCCGATCTCTATCATCTCTTGCAGCGCGCGCTCCACCGAGCGGCCCACGGCACCGGATACATGCAACGGAACGTCCGGTTGCAAGGTGAATACTATTCCCTCGTCCCGCAGCTTGGACACGATGGCGTCTCCCGTCCCAGGTACAATCTCCTGAGACGTTGACACGAGCTCAAACATGGCGCGCTCGTCTGGAGATGGGTTACACCCCACCACGACCGCGCCTGCCGCGTCCCCGAAGAGCGCCTGCCCGACGAGGTTTCCCAGGTGGTCCTCGGAGGGCCCACGCAGCGACAAGGCGTACACCTCGCAGGCGACCACGAGGACCCGGGCGCCGGGGTTGTTTTCGGCGAGGTCCTTGGAGACGCGGATGGCGGAGCAGCCGCTGTGGCAGCCAGCCTGGTACATCATGAGACGCTTGGTTGAGAGTGGGAGGCCGAGGAGCTTCACGAGCTCCCAGTCCGCACCAGGCAAGCAGCCACTGCTCGTCGTGCTGACGACGAGGTGTGTGATGTCGGAGGCGTGCCTGCCCCAGTCTTCTATGGCCTTGCGCGCCGCCGCCACGCCGAGCCGAGGTACGCCCTCGTCGGTGATCTCTTGCCGAAGGATCAGGGAAGGAGACTTGTAGGCTGTCGCTGACGGGTTGCTCCTCAACCACTCGTCGGACATGTAGAAGTGTCGCTTCTCTGTCGTTGTCTTCTCGCCTGCATTTATATTTCATGTAAACGACTAGTATTGTTATAATTAAATTCATCAAATTCTTTTGCAGCCTTCTCTGTTGACAACGTTAATTAGAAGACTCTAATGATTTGACAACAAATAATATAACAGAAAAATATCGTATGCATGCCAAGGGAAGCAAACACACATATATTAGATACATAATAAATATTGTAGACTTACAAATCTTGGCAAACCTAGCCTTTAGATCCACCAGATGTTTACTGTCGGTTATATCAAAATAGTAATCCGGGAAAGACTTTTGCTCAAACACATGCTCCGGGAGTGCTTTCCCTATACCCATGATAGTTGCTCGTCCATTACCATGAGGTCTTCCCATGGAGAGAGTCTCCTGATCCCCTGCCATCAAAAGAGTCATGCTACGGTGGAGAGATTGGGATGATGATGATGATGATTAGCACCTTGTGATCTATAGCTACAAGGTCTGGTATTAAATAGGCGCTGATCATGTGGAAGGCTAGCTTTATCTTCTTTTTTTAAGATTTGAGCACCAAGTGGTATATAATTGCCAGACAATAAATTAATATTCGATAATGCTTGGCCACGGGCGTCTGCCCCATGCGGACGCTGCACGCGTCAATCCGTCTCGCTGCTCATGTGGAAGGCCAGCTTTATTTTGACTTTTTTAAGGTTTCAACAGCAAGTGGTATATAATTGCTAGGCAATAAATCAATATTTTTACGAAATATCAAATTTATCAGGTCCTTGTCCGCCGCTCATAGCCCTGGAGTCCTGGCACTACTACACAAATCTTTTGGGAGGCGGGTGTTTTGGCTATTCAGAGGCAGACAAAGCAACCGCCACCGTCAAAAGGACTGTGTTAATGCAGACCTACGGAGGCGGTCAATCAATCAGAAAAAAAGAAAAACCCGTTGACGAGCCTGCTAAGCCCATCATTGCGCCGCCGCGCCGCTAGATGGATCTACGCGCCATCGCCATCGTCATCACTATATCCGATCGCACCCGTCCTCGATCCGCCGCTGGGGACACCACTGCTCACGATCCACCGCCAGCGGACGCCACAGCCCTCGAGCCGCCACCGGAAGACGGGCCCATCCTGGGTCTGCCGCCGGGGAGCGCGCCCACCCTAGATTCGCCGCGGGTGTGGTCCACCGCGCACGCCGCCGGCCTCGAGTCGCTAGGAGCTCCGCCACCAACACGCTGTAGTCGTGGATCCACGAGATCCGCCGCCGGGAGCTACGCAGCCGGCGCATGACACAGCCGCGCGAGCTCCACCGCCAGGCACGTGGCGCGGCCGCACAAGCTCTGCCGCCGATATCTTTCTTGCATCCTGCAAGTCGTTTCTGTACCTTTCAGTTAGGCTAGATGTGATCCATCTCACACCCAAGTGGGATTTCCTGGCCGGACTGTCCCTGAACGTGTATTTATGCTCCCTTCACTCGTATTCAAGGACACCTCGCTGAGTGTAGTATTTAAATCACATGTGTTTATGAAGTTTTTCGAGAGACACATTGACTCGACATTGTGAGAGGACCGTGCGCAATGACCATACTGACCTTCGACGAATTAAATCGACAAAAATGGCAATTTTGCGGAGGCAATGAGAGGCGATAGGAAGCGATTCCGACCATTGTAAAAGATCCCAAGATAATATTTTGTGCATCATTTGACAGCAGCATAGACTGAGCTTGCAATATTTTACTGTTTTGTACAGACTGATACGTAAATAGTCCCCTGATCAGGTCTTCTGGTTTGCTGTGTGATTGCATTGTTTTTGAAGTTAATTGATTTAGTGAAGATCGCTTCTTCTGGTTGGTTCCAGCAACCACGTACCTTTTTTTATATTAACGATACCAATATCTTGTTTATTGTGCTTTATTTGCAGGTCGATAGCAACAGCAACGAAAGAGCCATCGAGATCTTGTGCTGGCTGGGTTATGCAGTGCCATGAAGATCTTGTGTGCTAGCTGGGTTACGATGTGTGTGAACTTGTGGTTCCTGTGTTGTATGAACATTAAGTTTGTGATGTAGGAACCTATGGATTGGAGTGCTTTTCTGTTTCTGGAATCAGTACAAATGGAATTTGGTGGAGCTCAGGCCGGGCCCTAATACTACTGCCGTGTGCATTTTCAAATTCGTCAAATTTCTACGACAAAAAAATAAATGTAATTATGTAACACTTGCCACATCATTTGGCACGTACTGCCACATCATAGCGCACGTGCTGCCACGTCAACACACACGTGACGCTACGGAAATGTGCACATGAGAACGACACGTGTCAACCTCTCCATCCAACATGTGTCAACCTCTGCATCAAACACGTATCTGCTGGATATGCCAGATGAAACAGTTCTGTGACAGAGGTTAAATCGTCACGTTTCTAACCTTATCTATGACGAAATATGCTAAATCATCACTGTGCAACAAATGTGACGCGACAAAGGTGACGAACCGAATTTCGTCATAACATCATCACATATATGTTTCAGTGACGAATTTGGCGTTTACCAAACTGATTCGTCTTAGATGTCGATTTTTCTAGTAGTGAACATTTTTAGGACTGAGCTGTAAAAAATTACGGACCCATATTCTACAGTGGTTTTAGGTTTAAAATTGGGCTTCCAAACATGCCATTAGATGCAAACATTGCCTGCTTTTGCTTTCGTCACACACTCACACAGACAAAACACAGGGGGGCTAATTCTGTGACTGGAGAAAGCTGCAGCCTTGCCACACCCTATTTTAAGGATAAAATTGGATGCAAAATCTTATGTGCGCCCAGAGATCAGTCACACACATAAGCCGACAAATTATTAATAGTATATCACAAGTGTTTATTACATCACGAATAATAAGACAGAGTCTTCACATAAATGTAGCGGAAGTATAAAGAAAAGATCTCTCGTGGAAGCTCGATAACACAGGAACGTTAACTGGTTGACCACAAGTCTAGTAATCCTCGAGAAAGTCGTCATTACCATAGCCATCAGTTACTCATCAGGGATTTTTATCCAAATAATGAAAATAAACAAGCGTAAGTACATGTCGTACTCAACAAGTGTTCATGAGGCTCAAAAGGCTTGACATAGGTTTAACAGCATTCAGATTTTAGTTGTCATAATTTTAGCATAAAAGTACCAACAAATTGTTTCAATCCCAAAGTAAAACACATGATCAATGTAAACATGAATAATGAATAGCATAAATAGATAATTCTTAGTGATCATCTATTTCATAAATGTTCCAAGGCCGCCCGTGACCGTGAGCACGGCTGATATACCAGTTTTACACTATGCAGAGGTTGTACACTTTCACTGTGAGTCGTGATACCCATATGTCTGGGTTTATAACTCCCAAAACACTTCCAAGGTGAGCAGACAAATATTACTATGAAGCCTTTCAAAGGTTCGTCTAACAAGTTAGGGCCGCTAGGTTTCTGTGACCTGCGAATGTAGGGCTCTCCTTCCGACAGACACAATGACGCGCAGCCCATACACTGACGGGCAGAGGCCGCACTATATCCAACCCGAAACCTAGCCTTTAGATCCACCAGATGTTTACTGTCGGTTATATCAAAATAGTAATCCGGGAAAGACTTTTGCTCAAACACATGCTCCGGGAGTGCTTTCCCTATACCCATGATAGTTGCTCGTCCATTACCATGTGGTCTTCCCATGGAGAGAGTCTCCTGATCTCCTGCCCTCAAAAGAGTCATGCTACGGTGGAGAGATTGGGATGATGATGATGATGATGATGATGATGATGATGATGATGATGATGATGATGATGATGATGATGATGATGATGATGATGATGATGATGATGATGATGATGATGATTAGCACCTTGTGATCTATAGCTACAAGGTCTGGTATTAAATAGGCGCTGATCATGTGGAAGGCCAGCTTTATCTTCTTTTTTTTTAAGATTTGAGCACCAAGTGGTATATAATTGCTAGACAATAAATTAATATTCGATAATGCTTGGCCACGGACGTCTGCCCCATCCGGACGCCGCGCGCGTCAATCCGTCTCGCTGCTCATGTGGAAGGCCAGCTTTATTTTGACTTTTTAAAGATTTCGACAGCAAGTGGTATATAATTGCTACGCAATAAATCAATATTTTTACGAAATATCAAATTTATCAGGTCCTTGTCCGCCGCTCATAGCCCTGGAGTCCTGGCACTACTACATAAATCTTTTGGGAGGCGGGTGTTTTGGCTTTTCAGAGACAGGCAAAGCAACTGCCTCTGTCAAAAGGACTGTGTTATTGCAGACCTACGGAGGTGGTCAATCAATTAGAAAAAAGAAAAATCCTTTGATGAGCCTGCTAAACCCATCAACGCGCCGCTGCGCCGCTAGATGGATCTACGCGCCGTCGCCATCGCCATCGCTAGATCCGATCGCACCCGTCCTCTATCCGCTGCTGGGGACACCACTGCCCACGATCCACCGCCAGCGGACACCACCGCCCTCGATCCGCCATCGGAAGACAGGCCCATCCTGGATCCACCGCAGGGGAGCGCGCCCACCCTAGATTCGCCATGGGTGTGGTCCACCCCGCACGCCGCCGGCCTTGAGTCGCTAGGAGCTCCGCCACCAACGCGCTGCAGTCGTGGATCCACGAGATCCACTGCCGGGAGCTATGTAGCCGGCGCACGACATAGCCGCGCGAGCTCCACCGCCAGGCACGTGACGCGGCCGCGCAAGCTCCGCCGCCGATATCTTTCTTGCATCCTGCAAGTCGTTTCTGTACCTTTTAGTTAGGCTAGATGTGATCCATCTCACACCCAAGTGGGATTTCCTGGCCGGACTGTCCCTGAACGTGTATTTATGCTCCCTTCACTCATATTCACTACTGGAGACGGCTTCTTTGCCGAGTGTCCCACACTTTGCCGAGTGCTTTTTATCGGGCACTCGGCAACGAGGCTGTTTACCGAGTGCCAGAGATAAAGCACTCGGCAAACAACTGACACTCGGCAAAGAGGTAGTTTGCCGAGTGCCGAGCACTCGGCAAACAATAACACTCGGCAAAAATGGCTTTGCCGAGTGTTATTCTCCTGACACTCGACAAAGGGACGCCGCCGTTAACGGCCGGTAGCCGCCGTTAACCCTTTGCCGAGTGTCTTCTTCTGACACTCGGCAAAGTGATTATTTGCCGAGTGTCATTTTTTGACACTCGATAAAGCGGCGATTTGCCGAGTGTCATTTTTTTGACACTCGTAAAGCGGTTATTTGCCGAGTGTCATTTTATGACACTCGGCAAACCATATTTTTTTTTCCTTTTGACCTCCAAACTTTTTCTGCAGTCCTCATACAATACCTGGTGCTCCATGTTCCAATGTGGCACATTTCTCAGACTTTTTCTATATTTCTTTAATTTATTTCATTTAAT